AAAGGGCTCAGATTCCAGTCATTTTGCTTAGTAGAGGAGGGGTCAATACTTAATTAGTACCAATGCTTAGTAATATGAGCTTAATATGGTATTGACAATGATTGACATAGTGCAAAAATAGCAAAAATAAGCCACCACTTTTGCAATTGTAAAAGGGTGTGGTTGTCATTATGCCATTAAATAGGTGTGGCTTAGTGTTGGCTCAATACTAATATTTAGTATAAACTACTTGCCAGTACTTGGTATCTAAAGGCCTAGTAGTGTATTGAATAAATTTGTTGACCATACCACGCCCCTAGTATGCAAATTGTGTATTTTTTGTTGCTATAATTAATATTACAATTATAATTAACATGGGGCATCACTTAAAACTCCTCTTCCCTCCCTTTCCTGTAGTCTTTACAATAGAAAAGTTAGACACTAATGACGGTACATGTTTTTGTTCACACCAAGAGTCTTACGTAGCTTCTCAAATTACTTTTGGCTATACTTTTCATATCTCGTATAATATATACAATAATAATGCAAATCACTAATTTACATAAGTGAGGAAAAAAATAAATACTTTTTAATTTAATGATAGCTTTGTTGGCCTTGTACAGTTTTAACCATTTATCTTTTTCTAATATTTCTTGCAATTTTGAATTGTAACTACTGATAAACTTAAGTTTTTAATAAGTGGGAGTACTAATTTTTGCCAATTTGAAAGCCACTGCAAAAATTACCATTCACCAATAATAGTAGCTTCGAAATAGTAAAAAGCATCTAGGCGAATCCACGCACCCATGATGCTTCATTATCTTTATCATTATCATCATCAAAAGGGAAAAAGTAATGTTACAGATTTATTACTTTTGTTTTACTAGAAAAAATTATAAGTAAAATAAGACAAATGGATCAAAATAATTAGGAAAGCCCTTAGTCATAAAGGGCAGACTACAGTCGTTACTACTCTAAAACTTTAGTAACCTGATAGGGCATTGCTTATTAATGTTTTACATTCCATTACTATAGAAATAACCATTTGACATAACTTAAGTGATGCAGGTGGTGTATCTTCTGAATAGGTAATAGTTTCCATGGCTCCAAAGTGTCTGCTTCAAAATATATTTTTTGACAAAGAATATTTTTTGCAGTAGATGAAATAAAATAGAATGAAGTCAGACAGACTCGAGCAAAGCTACAATTGTGCAATTGTGCACAATGACACTGAAAAGAGAACTACGTAGTCAGGCGGGCCTGACCCTCACAAATAGGGATGAGCCTATTATTCCAGCATAATTTTAGGAATAATAGGGGCTTCCTCATATGAGGAATAATGCTGGAATAATTGGATGGAAATAGGAATAATAGTGGAATAATGGGTGGAGTTGAGGTCAATGATGATTGCAGAAGAAAATTTTGAAATTTTTGGCTAGTGTTTTTTGGAAGACCTATTTTTAAAACACTGCTGGGATGCAATTTTTAGGTGAAAATTGATTGTTTGAGAAAATTATTGAGAATAAATTGAGAATTATAGGATAAAATGAAAAGAATAATGGGGGAAATTATTAAGAATTTCCAGAAAGAATAATGGGAAAATTTATGAGAATAATAGGCTCAACCCTACTCACAAAGGAGGAGGGCCAGGACCAATCCATCACTCTTTTTCGTGGCACTGCACAGATTTGTGCAGTGATGTATCATGAGTCATCCTGAGTTAAAATGAAAATGGCAGATTTGAACAGGACCTTTCTCTTGACCTTTCTTGCAGCAAAACAAGGCAGACAATCTCTAAAAACTTTTCTAGAGACACTGGAAGATACAAAGGACCTTAATATGTCGTTCACCATCTTTTACATGTGCAATTATATCTATGCCAATTTAGACCTAGTTCTATCCATGGTCCTATCGAACTGCTCAAAATGGGATCTTTTGTAAGGTTTATTTATGACTGAGTCTAGAGAAGGAGCCTTAAGGAAACTGATTTGTATCATCTTGTAGCCCAAGAAGCACCATACAGCACATTTTTAAATAGCCAAATGCAAGCATTGAGCTCCACCCAGCCCCACCCAAGCCATAGAAGTGTACACCAAAAAGTGTTGGATTGGTCCTGACCCTCCTTCTTTGCGAGGGTCAGGCCCGCCTGACTAGGATCTACACATGGTCTCGTTAATAATTTATCACTTTCAAACAGGGTTAGTTATTAATAATTAACTACGTGGGCAGCAGTTTGCAATGTTGGGATAGCAGCAACATACATTGTCTAAATATGAAGATAGGAACCAAAAATTACAGATGCATCTTGTGGGACAAAGGGAAACTTAGAATACTTGTAAATATTCAAAACATTGTGTCACAAGTCATCATGTAGTAGTAATGCAGTAATGTAGCTTAAAAGTCTTATCAGAAGGATAAAGCAGCAATAATGATCAGTAGTTGTGATATAAAACAATACAGCAAATGTATACACGAAGTCTAGCGTGAATCAGAGTTTTCCATATTTTAGAAGTGAAGAAAATAGGCAAGAAAGAGAGGCCAGTATCAGTGCCTCAACACCACACCTACTTCTTTTCTCCATTGCTTTACATGGGAATCAGTAAAAAAAGTACTCTTTTCTCTATTGCAAATGCTTTTACAATCATAAAACATAGCTTGTTATATCAATTGCAAGTTCTATGTTGCTGATATGTTGCTACACACCCATGTAATTATGAACTGCTACAATGCAGTGATCACGAAGTGGCGAAGAAGGCTTGAAAGAATGGAAACACAACAAATAGACATTATACATTTATTTTGTAGGTCCTACTCCAAGTATCCTATAGGTTTTAAGCTTCTTCTCTCAAAAGGAGCAGAAAAATAGGTGAAAATGTGCACCCTCTCTGAGTTAGTCTCGTGTAGCCGGACTGCACCCTCCGTGCTTCCAGAATTGGTCTGAAAACTGCCCACATTAAAGTTATTCTAATAAAAATTAGGAAGCCATCAAGGATAATGGACAAATTAATGATCATTCATTATAATGGTATCACTCATGGTAATTTTATCCATCAATAAGGAGTGCAGTTTATAATGCTATAGTACCCATGTGTACTTGGTGTTAGTGACTGTTCATTAGCAACAGAACCAGAATATGCTCCTTGCTGCTGTCTTTGCTATGAAAGTGTCTGTTGAGGAACTATGAAAGCTAAAACAATAAGAGCAACAGAAGAAGCAGCTAAAGTTACTTTAAAGTCATCAATTCACTGCGCAGGTATACTCATATGAAGAACTTTGACAGCCTCCTTAGGTTTACTAACTGGTTCTTCTGCCATAAGACCTGGACCAAGACACAAAGTTTAGCAGTTTTATGTAAAAAAATTCTGTCTGCAATCATAGTTGCACTTGATGGATGCCATGCACACTGAACTAGCTGTTGCAGAAAGTCCATCTTAGGCAAAGTCAGTTGAGACTCAGAGTTGGGTACTGCTAGCTATGATGCTAGCATAGATGATACTGTGTAATAGGGTAGCACCAATGACGAGATTAATCAAGACACATCTAGTGTTTCAGTAAGTTTTGTGAATGAACTAACTATAGTTAATGTACGAAAGTAGGTAAGGATTTAGTGGCCCAGTGGTGATCATAATTTTAGTGTCAATACACTTTGGGAGGAAGAAGGCTATAACAAGAATAGCAAGGAAGAACATGAGATTTGTCTCGGGCTCAACTTTGTCATCACCCATCTACATCTACTTTTATTTTGCAAAGAATAGCTAGTACCATTAAGAAAGAGATGAAATTAATATCTTCAAATACACATGACTTCTTGATTTTTGATAGCAGTGATAGTATCATGGACTTTAAGTGACATAGACTGTTCCATGAATTGATTAAGATTATGTCCACTTGTGTCTCCTTAACATCGTCTCTGATTCCTGGTAGCAATGATAGCGAAAGAGTGACATTGGTCTGCATAATGATTTCCATTTTACTAAATAACAGATTTCCTAAGATGGCACTGCTCCAAAGAGGGTTATCTCTATTGGTGTATGGAAATGGATGCTCTAAGGAGGTAACAAATTTCAATTATTGTATACTAAAGTGTTCTTTTGTAATAGGTATACAACTGCTTACAACCACTGATGATAACACTTTCTCATGATGGGACTATCAAACTCATCAGTCATTTCTCCTCAGATCATGACATCACAGTGCAATATTGCTCATGCATTAACCAAGATGAATGTACATCTAGTTATAATCTAAAATCTATAAGTCTATGCAGGGATATAATAGACTACGTAACCGGGATTGGTTATGGACAGGAAATCAATTATCTGACTGTTATTTTGAATTAATTATTTATTATTTGTGACCATAATTGACAAAAGGGCCCTTATGGCGGAATTTAAAATTAATGGTTATAATAGAAAATATCAACCTGTAAGTGCTTTGTTAGACAATCATTGTTTCTAAAAGTTTCATGGTAACTTTTTGCATCCTGTGGAGTAATTTTATGATAAATGGGGCTCAGGAAGTTGGATTTCTTAGGGTAGAAAGACAAATTTCACTACCTGCCATAAGGTACCTTTTGTCAATTATGGTCACATTTATTCATGACAGTTCAATGCATTAATAATCATTAATTTACGTGCTTCTTGTCCTCCTGCATATGGTGAGATCCTTTGCTAGTCAGTGGCATGTTGCAATTCTATTGCTGGGAAGCAATCATTCTCATTTGGTAAGACATTATACTAACTTAAAGTAACAGTGAGCAGTGCCTCCATATTTAGGGAAATTTCCCTAGATCTAGGGACAATAAGGTCAATTTAGGGACTAGGAAGGGAATTTCTAAAAATACCGGAATCTAGGGAAATTTTGACTTCCTTAGCTCTATAATTAAATTCATGAGTCATAATTATTATTCATGAGTGATTTTAATCATTATTCATTATTCATGACATTAATTACACATGCACAATTTGCACATGTATAATGTATTATCAAAACATAAATTATTTTTAGCTGGATAATTTAAAATGGCAGAGTTTAATGGAAATGTAACAGAGATAACTTCTGACACCTACTGTACATCTTGCGGTACATCTAGTCAGTCTCCTTCTATCAAAAGGAGGAAGGTGTATAAACAGAGGTATAACAGAAAGTGGGAGAAAGATTGCAAGCTAAATGACAGGAGATGGTTACAGCCTAGCAGTGCAGATCCATGTAAAGCCTATAATAAACTCTGTGAAAAGGAATTAGTTGCTGGTCCGTCTGAGCTGCAAAAGCATCAAGATTCCAAGAAGCACAAGGAGAGAGAAAGTGCAGTTACCATAACTAGACCTATTACAGCCATGGTGGTTTGTGATGATATATCACAAAAGACAAAAAGTGCTGAAATTAGAATGGCAGCCTTTTTGGTGGAACACAATTTGCCATGTCAAGCCATGGATCATCTTTCTGACTTAGTCACTGATATCTTTTCAGATTCAGAAATAGCAAAACAATTTCAAAGCAAGCATACCAAATCAAGAGCCATTGTGAAGCGTGTTCTAGCAGACCATTTTCGAGAAGAACTTTTACATGCTCTGGCAAAGACAAAGTTTTCTATCATTATTGATGAAACAACGGATATTAGCTCAAAAAAGCTGCTTGCTCCATTGACAAAGAAAACAGGGTAAGAAGCCAATTTCTCAGATAACTAGAAGTAACAGAAACAGATTCTACAACACTTGTTAATACTTTGACCACTTACTTTGAAAGTAAAAATATTCCTCTCCAAAATATAGTTGGCTACGCTTCGGACACGACAAATGTCATGTTTGGTCAACACCACACTGTAGTTACTTTGCTTAGGGAAAAGATTCCACATAATTACACCATGAAATGTCTATGCCACTCAGTCTATTTATGTGCATCACATGCTTGTGAAATGTTCCCATGATCAATTGAAGATCGAATTCGTGAAATTTAATCACATGTTTCACACAGTGCTAAGAGGCTTGCAGAATATAAAAAATTTCATTTTTTTACTACTACAGAGCCACACAAAATTCTTAAACCTGCTCAAACTCATTGGCTATCTCTGGAACATTGTGTAGTTCGTCTAATAAAGCAATGGACAGCATTGGAATTGTACTTTAAAAAGCAGCTGAAAAGAGTTGGCTTGTAGCAGCATGCACCATACATACTGCTTTGACAAATCCCATTGTGAAGCTATATTACAGTTTTCTAAAATTTGTGCTGCCAAAATTTACTCACTTTAATAAGCGTTTTCAAAGCAAAACTCCTAATCTCCACTTTTTATCAAGCTATTTGGCATCTACATATGAAGCTTTTTTAAGCTCTTACCTTTCTTCAACCTACATTCGGTCAAAAAGCCTGGACCAGATAGATTCAGAGTCCATTGAGAAATTTTTGCCACTTGTATTAATGAGCATGGGTGAAGAAGTGGCAACTTATTTGCTAAACCTCGAAACCCTCAAATGAGAGAGGAACAAAGGGAACTGAGAGCATTTCTTGAGAACATTCAATTATTCTACATTGAGGCTGCAAAGCAGATAAAAGAATGTTTTCTACTTGGCGATAAAATTTTGCAATGCTTATCAATCCTCAATCCTGACAATTAATTCCACTTCAGCATCTTCCGTCATATACCTTGCTAGAAAGTTCCCCAATATTATCCCAGAAGGTGAGTTAGAGAAAACGGACCATGAATGGAGAGAGCTCCAGTTTCTTGATCCTGGTGAACTTCCTACTTCATCTCATGAGTACCGGAAAGATGTGGTAATATTCTGGGGCTCTTTATGTCAAATGTGTAACACTTCAAAAGAGTGCAGATTCCCTACTATCTCTAAACTAATGAAGTCACTTTTATCTTTTCCTCACTCAAATGCTGAAGTTGAGTCTTTTCTCAGGGCATCATCACAAAGACTAAGCTAAGAAACAGCTTAAAAACAAGCACATTGGATTCCATTTTATTCACAAAACAATCCTTTAAATCTGATTCTGTCTCTTTCAAGCCATCCAAAGATATGTACAAATTCATGAACAGTTCAATTTATGGTTCAGATTCAGAGTCAGATTCTGATTAATTTTTGTATTTTAAGTGCAAATTTTCAAAAAACAGGGAAATTTTAGGGATTTTCTGGGGAAAATTTGACATTGGGTCTGGGGATTTTTAGGGAAACTTTTTTTCCCACTTAGGGAATTTGATCTTGAGGCACTGCAGTGATGTTTAAAGATCTATTTTTTATATTCATTACTAGTGAATTACAGTAGTCTTTTTGCTGATTATGTTAAAACAAGCATACTTGATTCTACAATATCTAGCCCAATTGAAAATTCTAATAGAGAACCAGCAAAACTACTTTTGGACAAATTAAACTCATTGACCGCAGAAAAGAGTGAAGATGCATGGAGACCTTTTGGAGTTGAGTTAATGGCTCAACTATTTTCCTTTACTTTTTTGAAGCCAGTCAAAATACGATCAATTGGGGGCAATATCACAAGTACAGATGTACACCTTGCTTTAGGGAAATGTGGATTAAATTTGTGTGTAATATTACTGGAAGAATTCCTCACCCAACCTTTTATCAGAGCATTACTTATGAGATAATCAAGTCTTTAATTAAAAAAAGATATCAGCAGAGCACTAAATCTACCGTGGCAACATCATCAGAGTCCACAGCCATGGCTCAAGATGTGTATTTTCTGACGGTTGAATGTAATGAATTAGGCAGAAAATAAGCTCCCATATAAATTTCATTACTGTTAGACTGCACCACCTATGGGTGGGGCTTGTGGGATCATTCATTATATATACACCCTTGACATTGGTCAAGAGACAGTCTACGGCATACATCGTGCAAGCAGACTAGTGTACGCAGATTATCATTTGTCTGGATCAACAGCAAGCTGTACCTACGCAGTCTGCTCTCTACATAGTTATCCTACTTTTATAACCCTGTGTTAAATCTCTATTCTTTGTCTACCTGTTCTATTATACATATCAATGGAGGAGCGTCTGACTCGTCTCGTGGAGGATACGTTTGCAAGGCTGAATAATCGCTTCGACGAAGTTGCAGAGATGGCTGCTAAAAAGCCTGAAATAGATAGATCTGTTCTGGACTTCAAATCCAAAAGTAACGAAGACCAATTCGTCTTTGTGGAGAAGCTAGAAGATCGATTACGTGAAACCTCTAAACAGATGGATAAGATCACAGCAGCAGTTCCCGAGCCGACAGATGCCTTCAATTAGTCTGTAGCAAAAGCAAAGAGGAGCCTCGAGGAAGGTATGAACCTTGTCACACATCGACAGAAGCTCATTAAGCTGGCGGATAGAAGTGAGCACGGGTGGAGAGTGGTCAAGGAGTACGAATCTGACTCTTTGGCCGAGAATGAAGATGACGAGAAGAGGATTGTGAAAGCTGAGAAAGCTGCTGCTTCAGCAGCTGCAGCCAAGAAGAAGAAAGTTGCGGTCAGGCCAGCTGTTCCAAATCCAGGAAGGATGCTAGCTCCCCAACAGCAGTTCAAGACCAATTGGCCCACTAGAGCGAGGTCCTTCTCATATCAGCCAGCAGGTCCATCCTCTTCTAGACCCTTTACTAGTTCTAGACCAATTGGCCCATGTTTCAGATGCAGTGAAATGGGTCATCTGCAGAGTTCCTGCCCCAAATTAGCAGCACCTCAGTATCCTCAATTTAGTTGTACTGAAGTAGATGGGTGGGGTGAGCACCCGTCAGAGAGTAATGATACTTTTGTTGATATGTCAGCTAGATATTGCGAAGCTAGTGAGCATGGGGTTGAGACAGTAAGGGTTAAAGGGCGGCTCAAACAGCATTTGCCATATTGGCGGGATGTGTTAAATCCCTCGACTTATATTTTAGATATTATTGAGAACGGTTACAGATTACCTTTTGTCAGCATGCCCCCTACTTACAGTGCTTCAAATCATAGTTCGACAAGGAACAATGTTGAATTTGTTACGGAGTCTGTTAGTGAGCTTGTCAAAAATGGTTGTGCCAGATTAGTAGCTCAGAACCAGTTATTTGTAGTCCCTTGTTAGTTGTTAAAAATTCTGATGGTAAGAGGAGGCTGGTTATAAGTTTGAAATTCCTCAATTTATATTTGTGGAAGTGTAAATTTAAGTATGAGGATTTTAGAACAGCCTTGGATTATTTTGAAGAAGATGCATATTTATTTACTTTTGACTTGAAGTCAGGGTATCATCATATTGATATTCATGTTGAGCACCAATCATATTTAGGTTTCCAATGGAAAGACCAGTTTTATGTGTTTACAGTCTTACCGTTTGGGCTTTCCACAGCTTGTTATATCTTTACTAAAGTGCTCCGTCCCGTGGTTAAGCATATTCGGGCCTTGGGAATAAGATTAGTACTTTATCTTGATGATGGGTTAGTTTCTGTGAAAGCATCAGAAACACACTCTATTTCTGTCAGTAGATTAGTAGAGGAAATCATAACGAAGGCTGGGCTAGTAATTAACAGAGAGAAGAGTAAGTTTACTCCTTCCAAGCAAGCTGCTTGGTTAGGTTTTGACATTGATTTAGCCCTTGGTGAGATTAGAGTCTCACGGGATAAGTTGCATACATTAAAGATTCTGCTACATTCAATAAACGAGGAGACTTTGATTCCAGTTAGAGTGATAGCTAGTATTGTCGGTAAGATCATTTCTATGAGCCTTGTTCTAGGAGACATTGCGAGGCTTAGAACTCGCTGCTTGTATTCAGTCATCCTATCTAGATCATCATGGAGTGATCATGTCATGATTATGCCAGAAGCTAGGGACGAATTGTCATTTAGGGTTAACAATATTGATAGCTTTAATGGCAGAAAAGTATGGCGGGCCCCTGCTGCTGTTCCAGTTGTCTATTCTGATGCTAGTGATACAGGTTTTGGTAGCTACACAGTAGCTCATGGTGACGACATTGCTCATGGCCAATGGACGCCTCTAGAATCTCACAAGAGCTCTACTTGGAGAGAATTGAGAGCAGTTACTTTGACACTTGGGGCGTTTGCTCCACGCCTTTCTGATCACAGAGTACGATGGTTTTCAGATAACTAGAATGTTGTCTATATAATCAAGGTAGGGAGTGGAAAGGAGGAGTTACAGGCGGAAGCAATTGCTATTTTTAAGTTAGCTGCCCATTACAATATATTAATAGAGCCAGAGTGGTTACCTCGGGAACAGAATGAAGTAGCAGACTATTTGAGTCGTATTGTAGATTATGATGATTGGGGTCTGTCAATTGCAGCTTTTTAGCTCATAGAATCTAAGTGGGGTCCTCATACTGTCGACAGGTTTGCCAATTCCTTTAATGCCAAGTTACCTCGATTTAACAGTCGCTTTCTGGATATCGGATCAGAAGCAGTGGATTCTTTCATTGTCGATTGAAGGAATGAGAATAATTATTTCTGCCCCACAATATACTTAATTCCTCGCTTGTTGTTTCATGCTATGCATTGCAAATGTGCTGGTACCTTAGTTGTGCCCGAGTGGCCTTCAGCTGCTTTCTGGCCTCTTATTTGTGACTTACAAGGTGGCCTAGAAAAATTTGTTAAGGATTTTATGTATTTGCCTTTGGAGCCAGGTTTGTTTGTTAAAGGCAAGTTGGGTGCCTGCTTATTCAAAGATGGGATTCCTACATCTAATGTGCTAGCCCTGCGTGTGGACTTTACAGATAAGAATGCCTTGTGTGAGGTGGCTCCTTTTAAGAGCTGTTGGCTGATTGTAGCCCAGTATGGTTTGCACATTTGAGTGCTGATTGCTAATTAGCTGAATCATGGGCTATGTCTCATGTATTGATTGGCTCTGTGCATTAATTTTGATTTTATGAGTCCTAATGCCCCTATTTGGTGGCCAGTATGCCCGGTATTATGAGGCATTATGTATTGAAACTCTTGTGTGTTAGTCTTAGTACATTGGTGTACAGCTATCACATATAATTCGGTATGTTACCGAGGTATGGTTATCGCTTAGCCTATTTGGCTATAATCTTTGGTGTTTTGAGTTATGCATAGGTGTACTTAACTTGGCTTCTTGCCAAGCTTGTAAAGGTAGATGTTTTAGTAGATTCATTGTTCATTTACAATATGCCTGTCTTGTTTATAAGTACTGTTAGCCTTATACTAGACATATGCATGCCAGTACATGTAAAAGATTCCCATACTGCCAATACATGTATGTATGATTTTATTATGTAAAGATGTTTATACTGTGTGTTTCTACATGCATGTACATATGTGTGTATTTTTTCTTTTCAGAGATGTTGCATGGGGGTGTTTGGGAGGAGCTACTTCAAATCAAGGACCCAAAACTCCTGCCCCTAGTACAAGGTCTAAAGAGGACTGTGTTAAATTCAAGGGCAGGGAGCACTATTAGGAAATATACGGGAGCGTTTAGTAGATGGAAGCAAAGGGCAGACGACCAATCTGGAATTCAATCTTTTCCTGTTGTCCCACTCCATTTTACCTTGTACCTCCAACACCTGTCAGACCAGGCCCAATCTAGAGCCGCAGTCGAGGAAGCAATTAATGCAGTATCCTGGGTTAATCAGGCTATGGGGTTACAGCCTATCAGTCAGGATCCCTTTGTGAAGACGGTAGCAGCTGGCTTGCAGCAAGCTTTGGCTAAGCCAAAGAAGAAAGAGCCTGTCACTGCAGCTATGCTAAGGGATTTAGTTGATGCAGCTGGGCTGACACCCAGCCTTTCAAGTACAAGGACGATCGCTATGGCTGTTATAGCATTTGCAGCTTTCCTCAGGTTTGATGAGCCGGTCAATCTTCATTGCTGTGATGTCCGATTTAGTTCTAGCCATGTTGTGCTTAAGATCCTATCAAGCAAAACCG